AGTGTTACGAGAGATGAATGCTATTAATCTATTACACTTATTTATTGTGATATCAATATGACGTGTGAATCTCATTTCGGAATCAATGTTTAGGCCTAAATCTTTAACATATTTTACTTGATTAAGACGAGTATCTGCAATATAGTAATTAGTCTCGAATTTTTTATATTTCTTTGAAAATTTTATGTGGTGACATTTTTTTACATTGAGTTCCATCTTATTACATTCACACCATTTACAAAGATCGTTAATATCGCTCTGTAATAGTAACTGGTCCTCCGTGCACTTAACGGTTCTAAAAAAATTCAGATCATCGGCATATAATACAAACTGACTGTTATTTAATACATGTTTTATGTCATCTATAAACAAACAAAATAAAATTGGACCCAGGACTGAACCCTGAGGAACTCCAGAAGTAGCTTGAAATATGTGAGATACAAATCCGTTTACAACAACCCTCATTACTCTATTTTCTAAATAGGATTCAAACCATCTCAAAAGACATCCGTCAATAAAAAAAAGTTTTTAAGTTTAGCCAGTAATATTTTATGGTCCACTTTGTCAAAGGCCTTGCTAAAGTCGGTGTAAACGGCATCAACCTCATTGCCATTCCTTAGTTCGGTTAAAACCTTTTCGACAAAGAACAGGTTGTTGTGGACGCTTCGCAAAGAAACCATGTTGATAGTCACTCAAAAGTTGTTTTACGTGCCACTTTAAATGGTTACTAACAAGAGATTCAAATATTTTTGATAAAGTGGAAAGTATGCTGATAGGTCGATAATTACAGATATCACTGATACTTCCGTATTTATGGATTGGTAAAACGATAGCCTCTTTCCATACGTTTGGAAAAATGCCTTCCGAGGTAGATCGGTTGTAAATTAAATGTAGTGGTGTCGACAATATTTTAGCACATTTTTTATGGATATTGAAGGTAATCCATCAAAACCGGCTCCTTTATTGGTATTAAGCCTAGCAAGTTTAATTTCAATATCCTTTTTAGGTATTTATATATAATTCAGATTAAGAGAATTTATCACACTGTCGTTAACTCTCGAGTAAGACTTATCTTGGACTTTGGAGGGTTTGTTATAAACAGATTCAAAGTGCTCAGCCACTACCGTCATTAGCACCTTTGTTCCCCAGTTCCATTTCCTTAGGGATCGAGTCATTATTATTAAGCTTATTCTTTATGTAAGACCAAAAAATATTTCGGATTATTTAATATATTTCTTTGCACATTATTTATGTAGTTGCTGTAACTCTTATTAATTAGCGTGTTTTCTCTTTTTTTAACAACTCATATTTGTATACGTCACAAATGTTTTGATATTTTTTCATTTTTTTTGCGGCTAATTTTCTTTTTCTTTAAAAGTTTTATAAGTCTCTGTGAATACCATACAGGATATTTATTTTTAACAGATGGTTTTAGGGGTACATATTTCTCGATATTTTTTCGAATTACGGTATAGAATTTTTCTAAGCATTCCTATTTATACCTTTATAATCTGCTTTATAAAACTTATACACATTGAAATTATTGTATCGAAGTTTATCTATTTTTTTATAATATATGTCAATTTCTAACGGCGGGTGAAAGTTATCAATCTTCGATAAAGTATCTACCGCTTTACGGACCGAGATAGGATATTGAACGTTAGATAAAACCAAATCAAGTATTGATTTCTTAAATTTACGCGAACACTACACATTGAATAAAACTAAATTTACGGATTTTATCGCGTTTATTTCACTACTTTTACTTATTTTTAATTCCCGACGTTTCGGGTGCTTTACAGCAACCATGGTCACGGGGTGGACTGAGATGTTTGACGTCCCAATGTCATAGTTAGTCCGGCTACTTTCAGTTTTTGAATATAAATTTTTGGTCCGATTTACGCAAAACGAGCTTATAGTATCATGAAGTCTTGCTGCTCTCTGAAACAAAGATTTACCCACGGTAGCTAACTGTGAAGGATGATGGTAAGATTCACCATTTAATTATCGGTTGGTATGGGTCTTTTTTCTATACACAGTCCATAGCAACCGATATTTAAATGGTGAATCTCACCATCATCCTTCACAGTTAGCTATCGTGGGTAAATCTTTGTTTCAGAGAGCATAAGGGATCTGTGACAGAAAACATCTGGCCGCCGAACTTCAGCACGTCAAGCAAGTATTGCAAGACAACAAGCTTCGGGTCCCGCGCCTACGTCACAGTGACCGAGTGAAGTCGGCCACAGTCGTATGGGTCTACACTGTGTATAGAAAAAAGACCCATACCAACCGATATTTAAATGGTGAATCTCACCATCATCCTTCACAGTTAGCTACCGTGGGTAAATCTTTGTTTCAGAGAGCAGCAAGACTTCATGATACTATAAGCTCGTTTTGCGTAAATCGGACCAAAAATTAATATTCAAAAACTGAAAGTAGCCGGACTAACTATGACATTGCGACGTCAAACATCTCAGTACCCCCCCGTGACCATGGTTGCTGTAAAGCACCCGAAACGTCGGGAATTAAAAATAAGTAAAAGTAGTGAAATAAACGCGATAAAATCCGTAAATTTAGATTTATTCAAATCAAGTATTTTAGAGTCATTATTTTGTACCTGATTATACTGTTTGAAACCGTTACATGAAGTAAAATCTATAAATATCTGATTTATTTTTGTGTTAGACTTAATTATTAGATTGCTATGATCTGAGGTCCAATCTATATGACCCAAATTAAAATCCCCCACTAGAAGGATAGGATCAAGATTTTGTACAAATATACTTTTGGTGCTGATGAAGTGGTTTAGATCATCACTTGAGACTGGTGGCGGTAAATAAACAGCACACATATGAAGAGAGTAATTTGGCATTATGTCTAAAGTAATCCATAAATCTTCACAAGAACTTTCTAAGGATGTATTCCTTCTAGCCTTTATATTTCTCTTTACTGCTATTAAAACGCCACCACCTTCCTATCTAGTATAGAAGGTATTGACCTGTCGATCTCTCCTGAATATGGTACACTGTCAAATAGCTCCGTGCTACCCACAGAATCGTTAAGCCATGTTTCAGTGAAAATTATTAAATGAAAATTTCTTGACAGTACAGTTTTATATATACTTTGCAGCTTAGTCCTAACACCTCTAACATTATATAATAGATATAGAAGATATAGCAAGAGATAGTAAATGTTTAAATCAGAGTGTGTAAAAGATTTAAATTTAATACAGAATTAGATAATAAATTAAAAAAAAATTTACTGAGATTTTCCAGTGCTTCCAATCTTGTTATTACCCGTGCTGGTGATGTCTCATTTTTGCGCACAAAAATTTTGCCATTACGCACCCAAACAAATTTGTATTGTTTCTCTTTTGCTCTCAATCTGGTAGCTGCATGTAACGCCTTTTTGGATGGAGTGAGATGTTCGTTAATGAATACTGGTGATTCAATGTCTCCATAACCCAGGATTTTCGTATTTAATTTATTTTTTTGGGTTCATTTTATTGTATGTAAGTACAGCGCCTAAGAAGTTGTCTCGCTTTATTTTACTTGTTAGTTTACATACAACAGTCCTTGGCAGCTTGGATGAGGCATTAAGCTTTTGCACTCGGTTGCAGGATAAAATATCAGTTTCCAAAATGGGAAATGAAATAACTTTTCCGATATTAACGATTGTGTTAACCAGGTTTTCTTGTCTGTGCTCAGGTAAGCAGTGGATTTCGACGTTTGACTGACGGGCAAAGGTTATTACAAATGGAACAGTCTGTTCCATTTGTGATAACCTTTCCTCTAAATCACTGACCGTGCCAGTTAACATTACATTAGTTGTAGAAACGATCTTGGTATCATCAGATAGGACTTTAACTTTGGTACTTATAGCATCATATTGTGAATTAATAAATTTAATCGTTTCAAATGCATGAATTTCTTTTTTGATACTAGTGAACTCCTCATTTAATGTATCTCGTACCACTGAACGCAATTCGCTACGAATAATTTCTGCAAGTTCAGTACGAGATACACAGTCTTGGTGTTCAGTAGTGGGTTCGCTCTCTTTTTGACGCCTTACAGTAATATTTTGAGAGTCGTCTAAAAACTCGCTGCTGGTCACCAATTTAATTGGAGTATCATCACTATTTCATTCCTTACGTATTATTGACAAGTGTTTAATGGAGCAGTCAGGACATTTCCAATTTTTTTTGCTTTTTGAAGTTATCAACATTCAAATTAACACACAGGTAATGATATCTTTTGCCGCACGAAGATTGAGTGCAAGTAATTCTTTCTGAAGGTTTGATTGGTTTTTTACAACCGCTGCAGGGTGAGTTCATATTTGAAATAATAAATTTGTCAGAAATTATTCACAAAAAGTGTTGGTGTTTGTCTTGATTCGATCTTCCGATTCTTGAATGCGCTTCACGTTTAAACAAGAAGTGGCCGCTTATACCACTGCGCTACTAAGCCGCTAGCAGCAAGCATGAATTTATGGAAGTGTTTCGAGTATTCTTAGTTATAACTATCGTAATTTGACCTTTCCTTTGTTTGTCAAGAATAGCTCTAACACCGCACACTATGTAAACACAATGTTTGCAATAAATATTGCCAAAATACACCAATTATTCCACGATAAAAGATAACACTAATACAACTGTTAGGTCCAGTAGGTTCTGACCGATATTAACGTCTAAATTTCACTTCACAAACTTTATTTTTTGCACTGTTATTGAATTTATACAAGGAACATAAGTAAACGTGTCCGTTTGGTACTGTTCTCGCGGGTAGAATGTAGAAAATAATTTGAGCATCTATTTTATTTCTGTAATGTATGAATTTAATCTACATAAATATGTAAATATCACATGAAAATATATATTCTTATACGTCTTAAGTTAAAAATAGATATATAAAAGCGATGATAATTTTGCTTTAAATGTTGAAATTTAAACCCTATCGGTATAGTAATCAGGTGCGCAGATCATAAAATAGTATTTATTTTACCTGTAATGCCGTCAATTTTTCTTCTAAGCTAGTTAATCTCTCTTCTATAGTATCTTGTCGGGTACTCATATCCGAAACTATTTCGTAAACGGTATTTTGGGTCTGCAACAGAAAAGGGTCCTACTATCAATCGCTTTGCAGCTCATTACTTACTGTAGTTGCCAATCGTTGCAAATCTTGCAGTGTTAAATAGTCGATTATATGTTTAAAGAAAATCTATTGGTTTTGGTGTCATTTTTATCCATGTATGCTTACTCTCCTACTGTAAACATAATCACTAGATACTAGGTAATTACATGCGCTTAGCGAATGGTGACGGACTCATTAAATAAATAAATTAAAAAGACTAGTAAAACACAGGACGAATAACTACAATTCTAGTATATTGTAGATATACTTGGGCAATCTACATAATAAAAACTATAATAATTTTTTTTGTTTTCTATGCTGTTAAATGTAAAAAATAAGTGCTTTCTATATTAATCTAAAATGGATGTGTGATATGAAAATAGCATTAGCTTTGTTTTTATATTTATTATATCGATTTACCTTTGCCATATCTGTTATGGTATTTGCATTATCCATTAACTTCCTTTGATCCATTTTAACTTTTCGTAACCTGAATAAAGTAAATAAAAATTAAAATAACAGCTCAAATACTGCGCGTTATAGGTGTCACAATTAATAAGGGAGTTCCGCTATGTAACCTAAGTTCATGTTGCTATTATATATTGTATTTCCCCGAAATTAATCATTTTTTCGACATTCAGGCGTTCCTCTCGGTGCTTACAAACGATTAATTCTTAAATAAGCATTTTAAATTGCGACAACTATTTCTGACGAGGACAGGACCGAACTCGGATTGCTCGTTTTATGCCTTTTAAGACAAGCACACATCCACCGAGCCACTACCGTGATCTGGCACCGAATATTAATTTAAGCCTTTGCGATCGGTGTAATTTATTAAGTAAGGTTACATCTTATATATTACATCCTTGATAACAGGGTACTGGTACAGGTACTGCAGGGCACAGGGCTCCCTCTCTGAAAGCTTTATGGAGTTATTAGGTCGCGGGCTAAAATAAGTTGGTTCTAAGCGCGTTCACAGTGTAACGCTGCTTTCATGGTTTATTAGGTAAATACATAACTAAAAGTATGGTAAAAGAGGTCAAAACGTTTAATATGTCATGTATTTTCAAATGCCCAGCTCGTGCACGCTGTTCATCCTGCTCATGGATGCTCTAGTAACCTGAAATGCCCTTCAAAAGCTGCACCTAAATTCCGGTAATATGTACATGAAGCAGCGTTACCAGTGCAAGAGTATTGGCTCTGTGCTGACTAGCTAGCTTAGCTAACGTGGTATGACTAAATATTTCTAATTTTTCTTACCACCTGGTACATTCTTAGAAATATAGATATTTACATCCGTACTATATGTATATTCGTACTAGTTGTGAAAGCAGAAAGGTGTTGATATATTATGATAGATTAATGAAACGTTTATTTGACAGACTTCTTATTTCTCAAGTGGGAAATTGATGCTGCTCCAATGGGTTTTGGTCGACTTCAAATGTGATGATAATAATTTATTTTGGTGTTCAAATTTTGTGATAATGTTTCCTCTTTCAACAACGCGTATAAAAATTTAGCTTTCAAAATTGCATTTGATTTGATTACCAGACGCCACTTTCAATGGTAACGTATATAGTATCTTTATTAGAATTTATTAAATAAGAAGTTATTTGAGAATTATAGTATTAATTATTTTAATTGAAGTGAAATAAAGTTACATTAATTGTACGTTCCACTGCTGGGCACAAGCCTCCTCTCATTTCTGAGAGAGTTACGAAGCAATTAGTCTTACGCTTATATAGTGCGTGTCGGCGGACTTCACACGTATTCGAAATATTTCATCATATTATCAGATATGCAGGTTTCCTCACAATGTTTTCCTTGATGGTGAGCATGTAGTAAATCAGCACTACAAATTGCAATTAATAATTTCATTGTATTTACTGCTTTCTAATCCAAGTTAACGCACTCTGAAATTTACGGCGAGTGCTGGTCTATCACGGAGTAAAATCATCATCATCATCATCATCATTACAGCCCTTCACAAGTCCACTGCTGAACATAGGCCTCCCCCAAGTAATGCCACAAAGCACGGTCCTGAGCCACCTGCATCCATCGAATTCCTGCATATCTTACCAGGTCATCACTCCATCTAGTGGGGGTCGCCCTACACTACGCTTACCGGTACGAGGCTGCCACTCGAGAACCTTTCTTCCCCATCGGTTATCGATTCTTCGAACTATATGGCCGGCCCATTGCCACTTCAGCTTCCATCGACATCGACGGAGTAAAATAGGAAAATATAATTTAGTAAAAGGAAATTGTAATGATTCCACTGTTATTTATTAACTTTATTTTTTGCCCTTTAGGCCAAACATTTTATATAGATAAAGAAGCTCGTAGTGCACAACGGATATTGCATCTGGTTTCAATTTTAAAAACAATTTGAATTAAGAATATCCATAGTTGCCACCATCTTCGCCCGACCTCCACATTTTAATTATAATAGTTATCTTACCTTAATTAATGCACCACTGATTTCCTTTCTGATGAAGTTTAGCTCATCTTATTTGGAATACCTAGTTTATTCATTTAAATAATATAAAATACTTACGCGTATATAGCTAACAAAAACTTTCTTTGATGAGTCCGCACACGCCCAGGATGTACCCTTTTCACAAGCCGTGTGTGTTTATAAATTAACCAAGTCTCTCTCAATACATTGGCGGCTGCATTTTTTAACTGAAATTTTATAAACCTGTTGATGGATATATTTTGTATAATTTTAATTATTTAAGCTATATGAGCTAAATAGTTTACTGATTGACCATTTTTACATTGTGAAAATGGAATTTTTATTTTATTGAACTTATAATTTACTTAACGAGAACGTTGAATTTAAAAAAAATATAAAACTAATGAATTAACTATTAATTAATCAGACATTAAGGTATTTGAGTAAGATTTAAGTCAATGATATTTAATTGAAATAAATAAACATTTATGCATTTTTGTTTGAAATTAAAAACATAAACGTCGAAGGTAATTTTATATGCTCGGTGTTACCGCTCCTCGGTGTCAATTTTTATTACACCGACAACCTAACATGCACAACATCAAACTTTAGTTTACAAAAAAAAAAATGATATTTTATAATATATTATCACATTGAAAAGTAATTGTATACTGAACCAGGATTTGCGCTTTCAGCTTTTCTTACCTTTGCTCGTACAGTACAGTCTTTTAAAAAAGCCTTACCTTTTTGGTGAGTTGAGTTTCCATCATGAAGTTATGTACGTGTTTCTCCGCTCTAGTTAATTCTAATTTTCTTGAAGCAACGGTCACTAACAATGCTGTACATCCTGCCCCCTGTTAATTAGATTAATAATAATTGTGATGGACTGACATTGATGGAATACTTACTCTTTTAGTAAGTTGTGTATCCATCATGAAGTTATGAACGTGCTTCTCAGCTCTAGTTAATTCTAACTTTCTTGAAACAACCGCGACTAATAACGCTGTGCATCCAGCTCCCTGTTAAGTGAATACCTTAATGTAAAACGTAAGCGATTGTGTAGAAGCATCCAATTTTACATTCCACTAATCGAATGATGCGTTTTAAGGCTAGAAGTTAAAATAAATTACGTTTTTACTTTGTGCTACATGCCTAGCCGTTTAAAGTTGTTAGACTGTGGTTACGGCTTTAATATTTCTTAAATACACAATCAGAAGAATGTTATTAATTTATTATTTATTTAAAAAACGGCCCATTAAATATATTTATAATGAAATGTTAGCTTTTATATTTACGTTTTAAACGCAAGTGATGAAACATGAACATTATAAAATTAGTGAACAAATTTATTTGAAGTTTAAATGATGTTTTAAAGATGATATATTTTGTTTATTTTTTTATTTAATAGCATCCAGCAACTATTCACGCTTCATATATAGAAAATTATTTATAATCTATGTGACAAAACCAATTAGTGCTTTTATATCTAATATGTGCAAACTTAATTGTAAATAAATAATAATTAGGAGTTAAGTTTTAATGAAATTCCTTTTTACAAAAACACTAACGGTGCAATGAAGTTTTGTACATCTATTTACCGTTAACTGGAGGAAAAGTGAGCCATTTTAGAAATTAATGTATAGTGCAGTCGGTGAAATATTAAGAATGTGAAAAGAGATCTACAGATAGAAAAGAGTTGTTAAGCATTCCATACTACAAAATATAGTTTAACTAATAGCTGACTTTAACAGGGAAATGGACGTTAATTCTTCGAACAATATAATTTTATTTTCGAACTAAGTAATTTGCCTCACTGTTCATAAATAACATAAGTTTTCTCATAGAGTAACGAATAATAAATAGTGTACTTAATAAATAAAAATACCTACAAGTTTTTAAAGAAAAAGTCCTGCAATTTTATTGACATCAAAATAAAAACGACAGAATTTTTAACTTATATAGTTTATGACGAGACATTTAATTTATTGAATAAAATATTTATGATTTTTGTGTCACTGTCCATATAATATCGTAAGTGTTAACCATTTAGTGTTATGTGTATACTGTACGACTAACTTTTCGTTAGGTGTTGACTGACTTTTGGTTAAAAAGATTTTTATCTCTTTTAGATTATAATAATTACTGTATTACCATTAAAATTTAAAAGTTATAAAGTATTAAATATAATTGATTAAAGTAAGTGAACGTGTAATAATTGTTCGTTTTACTCATTCCTTCCGTCAGTCAACACATACCGTTTTTTTTCCAAGAACTTACCATTATACCGGTGCTTACGGCGATACCTCTGCCGCAATATGTGTTTGGCACAATGTCTCCAAAACCAACGGAGAGAAATGTTATGGCAATGAGCCACATCGCATTGAGTAGGTTAGCATGTTCTTCATCGTGAAACCTGAATCGTTAATAAATTGTATTTCTTTTGTCTAAATCTCGTAAGTATTTTTAGGTTTTGATCAAAAATTGAAATGTATGAGATAATATCACAGTAAATGTTAACTAAAACCCTTGAAATGCGCTTGAACAGAAACTTTAACTTTAAATAAAGAGAGACCTTTAAATCAATATGATTAGAAAAAAATAGAGTTACGGTAAAATTAAAGAGTTTGACTTTGATAGCGAAAGTATTTTCAAATGAATGAGATATCATTGGGGTCTCGCATAAAATGGCTCACCTTTACCTACCTAAAACGCAATAACGTAGAAGAAGCAAGATCAAAATATATCATTAATGTACTTGGAGATAATATCTTGCCTCGTCTAAATTTAATAAAATGGTTGAAAGTATACCTCTAGAGCAGACTGACGTCCTTAGCCTTTTTATTTATACATACCACCATGCCGCAGGTGAGTGTAATGCCACGACCGCAGTATGTGTTGGGGACAATGTCACCGTAGCCAACACAGAGGAAGGTAATAGCAGTCAACCACATTGCGTTAAGCAAATTTGCATGGTCTTCATCGTGGAACCTGAGAGCCAAAATGCCCGACAAGAACCACAGAATAACCGACTATTCTAGGATTATCATTAGAAATATTATCAAATTTATTGATATCCAATTCGGATAATGAACAACTTTCTGAATTTTCTAAATAGTTATAAAATGTGGCTAAAATTTAAAGAAAAAACCAAATTTTTTTTCCATCAAACGTAAAAAATCCTGAGTAGAAATTTTCAGTTTTCTTAACAAAATATTTTCATTTTAACCACATATATACGCTCTTGTCGAAACAAATGTCATAACGTGCAATCTAAACACATATAGATCAAATAAACTCTTGCCATGCGCGACTTTTATTACTTAGGAAACATAGGCTAATAAAACATAGAAAACCAACATTAAAGTGATAGACACGCAACAAGAAGAAAATACAGATACTCAAGGAAAATTAAAAGCCCTGTAAATTGGAATAAATCTGATGAAATGGCAATGAATGATCATGATATAGGTGCAGTGGTGGTCTGAAATTAAAACCGGTTATCGGATAATTAAACCGTTAGGTGATATTTTGAGCCATTTCGTGCGTAACTATTTTCAGGAGTCCGTTGTAGTTTCTTGATAATAAAATTTTACAATGCAATTATTGAAATTAGTAGTTATTAATGGTATATTTAGATTACCGAAGTCATGTTCACGATTTTCAATTTTAGTAATGTTGTTGATAAAAGATTATAAATATTTAATAATACTTTTTTCATTGGCTATTTTTCAATATTAATGCATTATTATTATATTAATAGGGTATAATATGAGATTCAAAGTCAAACTCTTCGTTAAATTATAATGGTTGTGAGCGAGAAATTTCATTATTTTACTGTACCAATGATGTCAACTACTCACAGGAAAAATAAAGAAACATAACACAACAACACAGTACGAAAGCGGTTACATGCCCTTGGAGGCAATACGAACAAGTTACAAACGATTATTAAAAAGACATCCGATCTAATTACTCTTAAAATATACAAAAGCTATTCTAAGGACATTTTAATATACACGTAATTAGCTTATAAAATAAAAGCAAGACAACAAAATAGCGAAATTTAATTAAAATACGTTTTGTATATGTGAATTATATATTGTAATATCTATTTTTACTCGGAATAATAGTGATACAGTTTTTAATAAGTCGTAGAAGATCTTGTGAATTGTGTAGTGCTTGACAGTTCAGTAGCAAAATATATTACTAACCTTTCACATTGGCGTAATGTCCAGCTTGCTATTATCCAAAGGGAAACCATAAACACTAAAAGAACTGTGCCTGGACAAATTGTCATAAGTGTCTTCAGTACAAATCTGCAAACAAGTAAATAAGTATATTTTTTTGAAAACGTTACCACCACACTAGGATTATCTCCTGTATCACGGGGGCAGTTTACACACATAAATTTCACAAGCACAAACATCCCGACTCGGAATAATTATTTGTAGCCCATACAAATAATTGTTCCGTGCCCGCACGGAACAATTATTTGTATTTCGAATACCGATCCACGGAGCTGTCAATTACCTTCATTATATAAGCTATTAAGGGCCGATTTTTCAATTCGCTGTATAACTCTTATCTGTCACAAGAGTTATCCAGCGAATAAATTATAACTCGACTGAATATAAAAGTGAAAAAATAGAAATATTTAATTTATACAACTAGGTTTCCACATTGTTTATGTTGCATTTTATTCTATGAATAAATTTTAACTGAGGATTGAACAATCAACCTTTAGTTAAGGAACAGCTTATGGATTAAATGACATAATCTCATTTTAATAGCCAAATTTATTTTGTGTGTAGGTTAAAATATTTTGTTCTGCCGCTCAATATATTATGTAAATTGTAAAAGAAAATTGTTTAAATTTAATAAATTTTTATTTTGTTACGAGAAATATTTAAAATTGTTATCGGCGCTGACTTTTAAAGAATATAAATTGTTGTTATAATTATTTGTAATTATTACCTCGTGTTAAAATTAATTCTATTCAAAGCTCCTATACTTCGAGATGAGGCATCAGTGAATAATTTGCTATGAAGCAACATAACCCTGCATATGAGATACAGACGAAAGAACATTGGCAATGATAGTGTAACATCGTAAGGAACCTGAAAGTTACAATATCACATTAATGAATACAATATTTGACAAAATATTAAAATGTATGTATAAAAATTCTTATTATATTACAACTTTAGGTAAAAATGTTATTATTTTAAAGGTTATTTTATCAAAGAAGAAATAACTTATCATTTTAAGGAATTATGAAATATATAAATATAGATTATTTATATTTATATATTATTACAATAAAGAATTATTTGATGTAAGTATTTTTATTTCTTGAAAATATAAAATATAGACTTAAGGTAATATATAGTTAACAACATACAAATACTATAACATTACATACTCGTATTAGGTAACGATAACAATAGTTTCTTATTTGATTCTCAATTTAGAACAAAATAAATTATATGTGCTCATAAGAAGACACAGGGTTACAAAGATCTTGTAGTAAGTAAAGCGGGTTATGAGGTATCGTTTATTATTTTAGTTTATACAACATACGTGCAAATAAAATTGTTTTTAGGGCATAGTTCTAGTACAGATCTACAGAAACTATTAAGACAAAATTTAAGATTTTTGTATTTACGCGAAAAATACACATTGAATAAAACTAATTTTAGAAAATATATCGCGATTAATTTTTACTTTTTAATTCAAAACATTTATTACTTTAAAATATATTAGTCTATCTTTTCTATCGAAATTTGCGAGGGCGTTCCTAAACAGTCTGCATGTTCAGGATTATCCCCATCATTACATTATAAACCACAAATCCAATTAAAATCCAACATACTCGTCAAATTTGAATCTATTCAATAAAAAAAACGAAATATCATTATATAAAATTCAAATTAAGCACAATAGAATTCCTGCAAGACTTCAAGATATTGCAATCTCGCCTTGCGCAGACCAAAATTAAAATTGAAAAGCTATACAATTTCAAATATTTTTTTTCATTCTTGGAGCTGAAAAATTGACATTTGGTGGGCGGAGTTGACTTTACAAAAGACTGTCGCCTGATTTCACTCCATTCCACTGAGGCCTAACACATTAGTCTAATATGGCGCACAACGGAGTTTCTAGTCAAAACTCCAATAACATTGACTAAGACCGTTGTACAGTGTGCTTGTGCATTGTTTTGGAGAACTAGTAGACTCAAACAATTAACTAAAATCTCTGTTTACTAGCTACTTAGTTATGAAAGAAACAAGTATCGACAAGTTTGTCCATCATAGTTTGCAATTGTAGTGAATAAGTAATTTACAGGTGTACTATAAAGTTACGAGCAGTTTTTTTTAAACTCAACTCGAGGCATTCCATCTTAGTCCTCACGGGTGACAACGCATCTGTATTTTGATTTGTAATCGAGGATAGATGTAGATGTCTATGGGCCGCAGCAACTTACCATCAGGTGGACTGTGTGCTCGTTTGTCACCCTATCCTATAAAAAAAAAAACTAAGACTCAAGACACAGTCTCGCTTGCTCGTCTGTATTAATGTCGTCCAATATGGGAGCCGCGTATCAGAATCCTCATTTGTGTGTCGATTCAATGAAGTCAATGTGATTTTACTTTTGATTTTGTTCTGATTTTCCAGAGGTTTCATACGGCTCCAGGATGCTTTATTTTCCCAATTTGATAAAATAAATGAATTAACAACTAATAATGATAAATTGAAGATTAAACATATATTAGTTTGATTTTGTTAATTAAATTTGCCAATACGTTTATATGAGATATAAAGAGATTGAACCTAAATTGAATAAAAAAATTTGACTTCTTTTACTTACTTACTTACTTATCTTCACGCATAATCCCTAACGGGGTAGCCAGAGAGAACAGATCGCCAAGTGTCACGATCCTTACATACCTCTTTCGCTTCTTTCAGGTTCATTAACTTCTTCAATACATGCACGTATAGGTATCCGAGTACTCTTGACCCTCCCCTATTCGAGCAATTTGCTCACATGGTCTTCGAAAGTTAGTCTCGGTCTACCTCGACACCTTTTAATATTTACTTTCGCTCTATATATTTTCTTCACCATTCGGTCTTCACTGATTCGTTCAACGTGCCCAAACCATTGGAGTATGCCCCTATCAATTTTTGTGATAAGGTCATTGACTTGACTTCTTTTGAACGAATTAATCGCTTAACACACCAAAAATGGACCAAAATCGAATCAAATTATTTATTTTCATTAAATATGATAAACTAAGTGAAAAAATTGTAAAAAATTTACAAATTTAATCCTTAAAGACATGCAAAATAAAGGACCAACATTTATAAAATTGAGATTTACACATAAACTTTAAGAATAATGATTTAGAGTTAAACAAATGTCTGTCATGAATCTGGATTGTAATCACTATTATTAAAAGAATACATGTGTATATGAATAATCATTTTCTGTAAAATTTAATGTCAAATCCTATTCATAATAAGATATCAAAATAAAACTTTGATACAATATATAATTACACACACATAATTTTACTAATTTAAAATTTGTCAGATAAATACTTTCGTATCGTACATTTGCCTAAGAAGGGTCGGAGTGATCGATTCTTCAACATATTCAAGAGCAGATTTTGAAGTTTGCTCGCAATTTTTTTTGTAAACTAGCGATGTGCCCAAGCATTGCACGGTGCCAAAAACAGTCGGCAACAGTGCTACTCATCCACATACAAAAAATTTCATTAAAATTGTTCGAGTCCTTTTATAGTTTTAGCGAGACTAACGGACACCGATTGATTTTCATATAAATAGATTTCCTTAGCCATTGGGTAGCAGTTTTTCTATATAAAGTAAGCATCGTGGGTAACACAAGTTGGCTAATCAATTCATCGGAATTTAATTTTGAAAAGATATTTGAGAGGTTCGACAAAATGATACATTTCACAAATATATATACATATATTAAAGATAATATAACTTTTGCATACGAGACCTCCATGTAAGATTCTTATCAAGAATTATACCATAATGATTTGAATGTGCTCGATGTGTAATATCATGTTGAATAACTTTACTTACAGGTGGGGACATCATAATTATTCAAAAAATAATAAAATGTACCAAGTGAAAGATTCCCGGTTTTCGTGTTATTTATCATTACGAAATTTTCTCCATAATTTTCAGTGCGAAGATCACAAATGACCAAATTTTCTCGACTTGTTTCTGTAGCATTTTTTAATAGTTATATATACTATCAAATACTAACTATCGTATTGGTGCCACGTGTACAGTTATTTTGTTAAAAAATATTTTACTAAAAAGTGTTTTTTAATTTATTCCAAAAGTTTGACCTCTTGCAGTGCCAAAAAATGTATGTTCGCCTGAGTGACCAACAAAGTGATAACTTGCCTACTACATAGAAATTTAGAAATGCTACAGCACTCGCTATATCTAGTGTTAATGCAAAGAGTATTGCTGTTAAGGTGGGCAAGAGTCATTTTTTCAAATTACAAGTAAGATTAAAATTCAGTTGGGGTGTTATAATTTCGGAAACAAAATTGATGTTATTACAAGGAATTTATTATAATAAGAAAATTAAACAAATTAACGTATTTAAAGTAAATTTATTGGATTGATATGTCTAACAACAAGTGCTCAAAATGGTTACCATTAGCTCTTATGTACGCTCTGCATATTCTAATAAAAGAGCGTGCATTGCGGAACCTTATCTGATACAGTTCTGCGGTTTGAGTGAAATTACTATCTAGTAGTAGCTCTGTTACTTATAACTATGACTCGATGTCTGACAGCAATGTGCAACAAACTTCTGGACGAAGAGTTCTATGGTATATCTAAGCAGCTCATTAATAGTTTAAAATCAGGACTGAGAACAAAATTCTGTAATGTTGAAAGAAGCGGATCTTTTGCTATTTGTACTTTCTTAGATCCCTGATACAAACTTGCAGTATTTTCTGATGACAATGAAGCCAAAAATATATAGAAGAATATTCTTGACCTGGTAACTGCAATGATAGCACAAGAGACCAGACAAAGAGAGCCAGATCAAGCACCCGTTTCGGCATCTAACAAAGACGACGATAAATTTTCCACATAGGCCATTCTAAACCATAGAAAGTTGGAAAAACATAGAAAGTTGGAACCCCGTTGTCAAAAGCCATTAAGGAAGTGGATACTTATTTAAATGACAATCTCTTGCCTGTTCACTGGAAATATTTGGAATTACCCTCTCGAATGGTGGCGCAAACATAGATTTATATATCCACACACTATATATATTATATAACACAACTATTTAAAAAATATAGAAACATTATGGCGACATCGGTACCATTTATTTATTTATTTAATCTTTATTATATACCTTATATACTCCCCTTCGCTCTGACAGCGCGCGACATGTTATACTCCCGTTCGCTCGGGATCGTAATGGCGGGAAAATTTGCAAATTAGCAAATTTTTTTGCTATATTGCAAATTTTGCTATATTTTCACTTTGAGACAATATTTATGGATAAAACTTACAGGAATTCTTGTTGAATGTATAAACTATCGAATAAAATTATTTTTGGTTGCTAGAAATTGTAATAAAGTATATAAATTACCCTGTATAGCATAGTAGCAGTATATACTTCAATTTTAGTGACAAAATTACTACTAATTTGAATTCTACACTTTTGTTTTTGGAGAAATTTATATGAAATTGTTTGGAAATATGTATATTTTTATGTTTTATGTGTTTCCATTCGTTACTCATACCAAAATATTAAAATATAAAAAAATTAAAAAAAAATAATATTTTATCTGTATGACATTTCGAACAATATTTCTAAAATATGTTTGTGTGAATTTGAAATAAATACAACGTCATGTTATTTGAAATATGTAGGAAAACTATTTTTACTTACATTTTACACTAAAAATAAATGAGAATTTGAAAAATAACACATTTATGACCCACCTGCCAAAACGGGCCTTCCGGAATTTGAAGTACTTTTGGCAATTTACTTTTCACTTTTTATACCACAAATTACATATCTACGTGTTTACTATATTACAAGGAATAT